ACTACTGCAAACTCTTATTAGGTTAATCTTCATCCCTTTATTCGTACTTATTGCCTTACACAGATGACTAATATTCTAAAGAGAATTCTGGAACTACTTCCGAAGCTTTATATATGACCTTCATTCTTTTTTTCTGAGCACGTTACATCCCAAGTTTATTTGAAGAATTTCTTTTCTCTCACCTGTCTCACTTCCAATTGTTTATCAGCATTCTAATTTTCAAGTAAGTGAACTTTTGCACTTCTAGTGTAGTAAGTCCTAAATGACTGGTACACTGATGAAGAGGAGATAACGAAACACAGTGAATCTAGTGTTGCTCTAAAGATGTGTTGATTACAAATATTCTTTCCTTCTAAATTCAATTAAAAAAGTAATTAATTCCCAAAGTTAATTTTCGTCCATCTTGTGAACTTAACATCGTTGAATGCGATAAAAGTGAGGACAATTTTGCACTTCATTTAACCCTATCAACTTATACAGCAAGATATTTATTATCCAGCGTGCATCATCGAAAGACTTTAATTATCTCTCTTTCGGAATTTCTTGTAAACAATTCAAAATATGATGAACTAATGTGATAATGGAAATTTTTTAACTGAAGAGGAAAATTTTGGTACTTTTAGAAAGGTAATTTAGAAATCTTCATTAAATCATAAAACAGAGGACGTTTAGTGAAGAGTCATTCTTCTCAGCGATATCATTCATTCTCAAGTTGAGCAATCGCATCTAAATATTCTATTCACATAGTAACAGAAAAGCCATATTTCATAAAATACTCTTTCCAGACAAAATTTAGTTTCGACTGTAAATCAGTAGATAGGAAAAAGAGTTACGTGATGCTTGAAATAGTAATGGCGAGAAGACTAATCAAGACAGGAGGAATATTTGGTTACTAAATTAGATGATATAATATGGAAGTGTAGTAAAGAGTTGGTGAATGTAATAAGAAATCAGAATTAAAGGGGTTGGAGGAATGCAATGCTTGGGAAGATGTGAAACAATGGATTTTGAAGGTAGAATGTTTTTATAGGTCATGTTCATTGGAACTTAAATGACTGGAAAAATTTATTTTGAATGCACGGTTCAGACTTCAAAATATTAATTGTCATGGCTTCCGCGGTTTGAAGAAGTTTCAGGTGTACACATTCCACTAGGCTTACTGCATGGTTATAATCGGTCAGATGTTCTAAAATGCAATTGTGAGGTGCTCTCCGTTCTCCTTTACGTTCAAAATGTTTTCTTTCACAACTGTCCACACCTATAATTCTGATTTCTTATTACATTCACCAACTCTTTACTACACTTCCATATTATATCATCTAATTTAGTAACCAAATATTCCTCCTGTCTTGATTAGTCTTCTCGCCATTACTATTTCAAGCATCACGTAACTCTTTTTCCTATCTACTGATTTACAGTCGAAACTAAATTTTGTCTGGAAAGAGTATTTTATGAAATATGGCTTTTCTGTTACTATGTGAATAGAATATTTAGATGCGATTGCTCAACTTGAGAATGAATGATATCGCTGAGAAGAATGACTCTTCGCTAAACGTCCTCTGTTTTATTTTTTAAAAAAAAACCCTTTTTTCATTGACTTTAGAGAATGTCTTGTTGCCGTAAAATTTACAAATTTGAAGAATAACCGCTCATTTACGTCTACTGGAAAAAACGAACCACGTAAATGTTACATTTAAACGGGAAATATTGAGTTCCAGGAAAGATTGAGCATTCGATACGAAATGAACAGATGATCCTTACATATAATTATACCGCCATTTTAAACACAGATTAAAGGTCGTACATCTGTGAAACTGGAAAATTAGCATATACGGCACAAATTCGAAGGTATTGGCAAAGGTTTAAGGTTACTCACGCAGCACTCGAGCATTATGTCAAATGATTTCCATAGTTAAAAGGTCTGAAACATCGTTAGTGATATCATTTTTAAATCTCCTGTATAGAACTGTTTACATCTTAGATTATTATTGAGCTGTTTGCCACAAGAGAACGAGATTCAATCGTTGCCAAGGCTTATGAGTTCCTCCCCTCCCGCCCCCTAGATGTATGCACTGAGTCCTTGATCAGCAACTGATTCATGTTTCATTTAGAAAAGCTTTTTTTGAAAGCTACAGTTTCAGTTATATTTCTAATACCTTTTTTAACTGTGATACGATTAGCGCTTATCTTTAACTTTATCATGAGAGATAAAACGTAACATGAGTATGACACTTGGCCTTACTTGATAACAATAATTGATAATATTTACAACATACCCTGCTTACCAAGTTTTCCCTTCTTCCTACTACCCTGGATAAAGTTGACCACGCATCCAATGGAAGGAAGCATAACCAAATACAGATGCCGTGGGAAAAAATTGAATTAGGTTAAATTCATGGGATGCAGTGCTGACAAATAGTTATTACTATCGTTTTGACAGACTAGTATTGACACTGGGTGATGATTGAAGGGGAAATGAGAATTTAGACAGCCTCCGGATTCGAACTAGTGGCCACTGAGTGACTGGAGTGAAATAAAAGCCTGGTCAGCAGTCGGACCTCGTAGGTCAGTTGGTAAAGTACCGGGCCGGTAGCCAGGTGGTCATCACCCAGTATAAACAGTTATATACAGAAAACGGACGGACAGTTAAGTATCACGCGGTCAGCTGATATCAGGAAAATATCCTCGGTGGTTGGAGGGAAGTAAAGACTTGGTCAGCAGCTGGATATAGTATCTCAGCTGGAAGACAGCCAGGGTGAAGATCCGGAGACCGGTAGTTCGAAACCTACCGTGACTTATGTTTCCCATTCACCCTCAGTCTTCCCACCGTATCAATAATGATCGGAGTCATTTGAGTAAGTTTCTCTTAAGAGTGATTGATATTGATGTTTACCAGGAAGCCTCAAGTGGTTAACCATATTATCATCATAGTAACAAGGGAGATTTACCTGGCTGTCCTCCTACACAAAACTAAATATTCCCTTTCTAACATGTAGCAGTTCTATACTTCAACCGTAAAGATTGTTTGACGAGATCTTGTAGCCAGTATAATGTAAAGAAAGCGATGTTGAAAGCGTCAAATCAGTGTCATCATTGATTTAATTTCATACTCGTTTTTATTAAAACGTAATCAATGAAGTTTCATTTTGAAGGGCCAATTTTTCTATTACTCCAGTGTACTTACTTTGGAAGTTATACAAAAATTGTATGCACGCAGTTACGTTGTTTGAAACGAAGGAACTAAAGTGACTTCAAGGAAATTCGATTTCAGTTCTACCTTCAGTCTTCCGTGGATTGTTCCTGTAATGTCAACACTTTTGAAATTTAGCAGCAGAAATATCACTATTTTGTAAGTGATAATCTTATTTCTTTCAGTAGTATCATATTTGTCCACTAGTTTTTGAGGATATTTGGTGTTTTGTTTATTTGCAACTCTTCCTTTAATTTGTCTTCAGACGACAGTATTTTCGCTTGTAACTCATTGAAAAGAGCCTATGGAACCTCAGATACAGCTTATTTCATGCATTCTTCCGATAAATCCATCCTTGAAGAGTACCATCCATCCTAGATTGTATGAAAATATTCATCGACTGTCGATTGTGTTAATTTTTGAATTCTTTATGAGAAGCTGGTGAATAGATAGTGAAAATCAAGCGTCTTCTAGCCACATTCAGTGCTTTTATGCGAACGATGTGCTTGAAAGTATGTCGAAGAGATTGACTGAACATTCTTTTCTTTAAATACTCTAGAACTCTGAACATCTAAGTGTTGATAATTTGTTGAAACAGGAAGTATCTGGTAAGCTATATACAAACAAATATTTCATTGCCATTTGGAAATTGATTTCAGACGATATTGACTACTGAATAACAATCAGTAGTTCTCACTAGTTAAATCAAGGTGGTCTAACCGAATAAGAGTCAATTAGTTTAATCGACTTTAAAGTCGTAAGTGGTGTAATTCAGTTGGCTCAGCCTAACAAGCTCAATCATGTAAACATTCGCAATTCTGGCTAACCGAATCAGCCAGTGATACATAGTGTCAAGGTGAATGCAAGCAAATCTCACAGAAGCATTCTCCGTAATTTCTTTTAAAGGGTAAATATCAAAACAATAGTATATAACCGTCGCTGACTAAACCAAATTGATTGGTCACTGTTGGCATATGGGATGCTCTGAGAATGCCTCGGTGTCGTCAGTAGCTTTTTTAATTTGATGTTAATAATATATAGTGGCCAACAATAGGATCCAGGATGATCGTTTCTTTCTATTTGGCAATAGTCAAATGGATTTATCCGGTGTAACATCAAACTATATACGACTCATATTAGGAGTGGCTATCATGACTCACTTGTTTAGAAGAGAGTGCTCTAATGTTTCAAGCAGTTAGTGATGGGCATGAGTCAAAGTAAGGATGAAA